AATCAGGCAAAGCCGCGAGTCAAAATGCAGCCCCGCAGCTTCAGGTGTGAAATTAACATGTTTGTGTTGGGCCAAACGGTGGCTGCGCCACGAGGCAGCTCTAGTGCGAAATTGCCCTAGATTTACGTAATGTACACCTCTGAATAATACACAACTATTAGAGCTTCGCTAGAGCTAAACCACACTGAAATATTGTGTGACTCCTTCATGAGAAAATAACATAAGAGTCTTGGGTCAAAGCGTTCAGTGCGCCTTGGTGTTCAGTCATGACCACGGAAACGTCTTCGGACAGCGCTGGCTCTTCGACTTTGAAACGGAGATGAGCACCGCAACCCTAGAGTCAGATTCGACTGGCTTTCGAGCAAGGGAACCTTTACCTTTACTTGGGTCAAAGACCAGAGGTGCAATTCACACCCATTGTGGCATAGTGGTTAGAATGTTGGACTAGAATCTGGGTGACCAAGGTTTGAATCCCCACTCTGCCATAGTAGCTTGTTGGGAGACCATAGGCCAGTCAGCACTAGGAATGGGCCCGAACCTCATCATGAACCTAATTTCATGACGAACATTGCCCAGTTCGTGGTTCATGAGCCGAGGTTTGTACGATCGTGCCCACAATGAACCTCCAACGAACCTCCGTGTTTTTCTCAGAGGTTTGTGCAGTTCATGTCAGTGGTTTGTGCAGTAGACACACTGGCACTAATAAATTAATGTCAAAGCAACGGGGGGGGTGGACTTATGTATGGCGTGGCCTGCAAAATCCATTTAAAGGGAACATTCCCTTTAAATGGCTTTTGCAAGATCTTCTCCCTCCTTCCATTCTGCTGGCCTTGGGGAGCCACCGCCAACAGAAAGGAGGGAGGGAAATCTCAGATCTCCCCCCCCCTTTCATTCTGCTGGCCTCAGGGAGCTGTCTCCAGCAGAAAGGAGGGAGGGAAGATCTCAGATCTCCCCCCCCCATATCATGAACCTCACAAAATGAACCAGTTTGGTAAATGGGATTTGGTAAATAAAGGTTTGTGTGACCCCACAAACTGGGACAAACCTCCATCCCTAGTCAACATATTCCATCCCTAGTCAACACACTCTTACCCTAATCTTCCTCACAGTGGGAGGAGAGGAGAATGATTTAAGCTGCTTTGGGTCCCCCACTGGGGAGAAAGGCTGGGTATAAATTAAGTTTTTAAAAAACTTAAATCCATTAACTGTGTGAATAAATTTATGCCATTACCCAGGATATGGTGGGGTCAGGGGTATATAATTCAGAAAGCTTGCTGAAGCTAACGTAGTTTAGGCCTGGGCAGTATCTGGATGGAAAACCTTCTGGGAATCTCCCTTATAAATAAAAGCCGAATGGTGGTGGCACTTCTCTAGAACATTCCACACGCTCCAAAATCAGTTCGCTCTCTGATCTGTCATTCAGAGGGTCTCCCTATCCACTGGCTGCTTTGCCTAAGTCCTGCTTCCAACATTGTAAACATTTTGATGTCCCCCCCCCATAGCCAGTCAGAACACAGAGGTTATTTGCATATGTAGCCTCATTGGCCTCTGCCTCGGAACACAGAGGTCGTTTGCATATGCGACTTGATTGGCTTTTGCCTCTAACATTCTAAACAGTTTTGTTGTTCTGAGGTAAAATGTGTCCAATCTCCAGGTGGCAGAGATCAGTTCCCCTGGAGAAAATGGTGGGCTCTGTATCTTTTTATGCTGCTGAGGTGGCCCCCATATGACAGCCAATGTGACGTAGCAGTCAGGGCTTCAGAGCATGGGAGAGGCTGCAGGTGTATGGGAGGTGGAAAGCTGAAGAGTGAGGGGGAAATAAAGGTAGGTTGATGATTGGCTGGGAAGGAGTTAGGGTTGCCAACTCCAGGTGGGAAATTCCTGGAGATGTGAGGGATGGAGCCTAGAGAGGGTGAGGTTTCAGGAGGCGTGGGACCTCGGACAGGTACAAAGCCATAGACTTTGTGGCTTGAATACATTTTGAAAATTTGCATGCATTTGTTTAGTTTTCATAGTTTATTCTATTCTCTTGTCTGCAAGGAGGAATGAAGAGCTATGCAGAATTCTGAAGCCCTGCCTGTTGACCACTCAGAGGTCTGCTCAGACCCCTCCCCCCAACCTCTGAGATCCAAACTAGATGTTACATCTACCACACACATGCCACGGGAACTTATAGCTGTACAATAGATCTGAGGAACTCAGTTCAGAAGTATTGTGCAGGCCAGATTCAGATCAGGACTGTAGGGGAAAGAGAGGCTTCTGCCTTCCTCCTTGTGTCACTTTCCCAGCCTGAAACTGCCCAGGATGGTGTTATTTGGCCCACTGGGGTGCAGCACATGCACTAATGCTTATGTCTTGCTGCAAGTCCCCATGGCAAACATGTGATGAATGCAGACACAACTTAAGGTTGCCAGCCACCAATCCCAGAATTACAATTGATCTCCAGTTTCTCCCCTAGAGAAAAGGGTAACTTTAGCATTATACTCTATGGGATTATACCCCCCCTACGTCACTTCCCAGGCTCCACCCCCAAATCTCCATAGGGTTGCCAGCCTCCAGGTAGGCCCTGGAGATCTCCCGCTTTTACTACTAATCTCCAGCTGACAGAGATCAGCTCCCCTGGAGAAAATGGCTGCTTTGAAGGGTGGACTCAATGGCATTGTACCATGCTGAGGCCCCTCCCCTCCCCAAACCCACCCTCTCCCAGATCCATCCCCAAAGTCTCCAAGTATTTTCCAAACCAGAGCTGGCAACCCTAAATCAGGAGATTCCTAATCCAGAGCTGACAACCCTAAAACACATACTTGGATGTCGACTATCACCAGATGCTACTTGCAATGTTACAAACATATTTATTAAACCGTAATGGCTAAGACACTTTCCCCACCTAAAAATGAAACCTAAGATTCCCACGATATTTACTTCTCTGTCACATACTTTTCAACATTTGTGACTGCGGATTTGGTAAACTACAGCTATAGATAATATATCTGAAAGTAGCCCTTACATCTGTAGTATATCCTTGTAATCTCTGTCCTTGTACTGATCTTTGAAAAGAAAGTGGTCAGAAAATTTGGTGCAGTGCTGCTTTGGACTGTATACTTGGTGGGACCCTCAGTTAACAATCATACAACTTCAAAGCCTAGACCACTGTAAGGAAAAGGACCGTTTTACTAGGTGTGGACAGCAAATAAATAGCCATCTGTGGACAAAGATATGTATCATTCATGATACTAACATGTGCTTCCCAAACATATTGTCTGGTCATTAACATGAATTGCAGAGATGGAGAAGCATTTGCAGATGGAGTCAGTGGGTGAAAGGAATGCTTAACTATTCTTGTGGCACTGATTCTACCCTGCAGATTTGCAGTGGCTGCCTTCCCCCCAGTCATTTTCCTCTACAGTAAGGCATCGGAGCATGGCTGGGGGGAAACCACTCAGCCAAAGAATGCCAGAGGAACACTGGTGTGTGTGTGTGTGGGAGAACAGGCAGATTCAGGAAAAGTTAAACATACCTCATGCTCATCAATCCATTGATTCTTCCCTGCAAATACCAAACCCTCATACACATACACACATGACCCTAAGGAGGCAAACATGGGCTGTGGAAGTATATTGTCTTTGCAATGTGCAGTTTTGCCATACGTGTCAACAGGATGTGCTTTCAGTGCAACGGTCTGGCTCTGTTCTTGCTTTTTTAAATGTATGATTTACTTCTGCAGCTGGATCAAGAGTTTCTCAGGGCCCTCCAGGTCCCCCAGGTCCTCCTGGACTACCTGGACTAGGAGCTGGTTCAGTGCAAGAGATCCAGCAGTATGTTGCTGACTACCTGCAGAGTGAGTACCCGCAAGAGTCTTGACTACCTTTCACAAGGCCATGTTGTTGTTTTTGCCTTCTACTGATGATGCTACTATTATGAGCTGTCCCTTGGCAGTGTCAGCAGCAAATGCCTCTGGGGATGGCTGGGAGAACGTAGGTCAGTCTGGAGCCTGTGTACTTTTGGAGTGCTTAAATGCTGATCGATATATTATGCAGAATGCGGATGGCTGAATTCTGGAGTGTGTGTGTGTGTGGGGGTGTTACATAGCTTAACATCCTCTAGGGAAAATGTACCCAATATGTAATAAGCTGCGACTTCAGGAAGAAGCTGGACTAGATTTTTCACATGGTCTGCTAATTTTTTATATCCAAAAAGTTGTTTTTAATGGAGAGGCATATTTTAAAAAGATGACCACAACAGAATTTCACTACTTTCCTTTACATTCTTATTCTGTGCAGTGCAGACTCTGGCTTTTGGCTTGTCTTTCACATGTTCCAGATCACAGATCACTCCTGAGCCCTCTCAGTAGCAAGGAAGCTATAGGTTGGCTGGTGCTCCACTAGTTGGGGAAGTTGAAGGACATCTGAAACGAGGGCCACTGTTCTTCAGTTTCTCTTTTAAGATATGACTTGTCACATTTACCTTTTAAATTGGCTATCAGATTTCAACTTGGCTGCCAAGATTAATTGTAATACATAAACTGAATAAAATAAAGGCATTTTTAAAAGATGTTGAATAAAGTGGCAAACAACCCAATTTTGTCTTTTAGAACTAGCAAAACATACTCTAATAGTTGTAAAGAATCCAAAGTGTTCATATCTGTAGAGCAATGAATTGTTTTCGTTGAACACTCATATATATAGTTTTATTGTTAACTCTATACCACTTTATATTGAGAATGGGTATATGTGTTCATCATGCATGGTGCTTTGCACATAGATGTGAATGCAGGTCCAATATTGTAATTTCAGGTAATATAAACACTTAAAGACACAGAACAACCAAAAATTAGCTCCTTGGTGTCTTGGCATCTGTTTATATGAAAGTTACAAAACCCAGCAGCATTAAATCTAGCCCAATACTTAACGTACAGAGTCAGACAGTGATTCTTCAGTGTTTCAAGCAGAGGCATTTCCAGTCATGCTACCAACCTGAGAGGCTGAAGTGCAAGTGCCAAAATAAAAAATAGGATATTGCATTTGCAAAGTATTGTGCTGAACCACTAGATAACAGCCCCTCCCCCCAAAGTTTGTGTGTAACAGACTATTTTATTGGTATAAGTATAAGATTCTTGTTTAGGAAATGAGAAGACCTGGGGTTATTTTCAGATAAAGTTAATGAAATAAATCAAAGTGATCCATTTGTTTGATCTTCAGAGTCTGGCTCTCAAAATATTCTACCCATGCCTTTCTCTGACACCTTATTCTGAGAGGATGAAGAGAAGTGAGGGATTAACACGAACGTGCATGGTTTACCAATATTGTTCCAGTAGAGCTGTTGAAGAATCAGGAATTAATGTAACCATAACACCTATCCATTTTTGTAATGATTTAACTTCATGCTTCTACTTAATTAGGGGATGGGCGTTATCTGGTTGCACCTCAAGGCCCACCAGGTCCTCCAGGTCTTCCAGGAACTGTTACCATTGATGAAGAATCTTTAGACTATGGAAAACTGGCCCGTCATGTTATGAGCCACATGTCCGGTAAGCGTCCTATTTCTACCAACCAAGTTTCTGTTCCTCCAGTTAGGCCTTCATCCATAAAACAGAACATAAGAGAAAACAGAATTTACGATTCTCCTGTTCATGAGAGATGTCACTTTCTTGCAAAAAGCCTCTACCAGCATTTGCCTCTAGTTTTGTCACAGTCTTGTGTCCTTTCATTTGAGATTTGGGCCATCAGGAAGACCCTAACATTTTCCAGTCTTCTGGCCATCTTGTTCTGCAGCAGTCATAGGCTTTTGGTGTTAGTGAACCTTCTTTGTGGGGGTCTTTTGGTGTAGTACCAGACTCCAGTAGGGGTTCCTTCTGCACCATATTCCCCTGTTTTCCTGAAATCCATGGCACCTCTGTACTGCTTTTCAATTAATTTTGGGCTATCCTTGCTTTTTAAAAAAGTTAAAGCACATGTTCAATATGAAAAGGCTACTAGTTGTATGAAAAGCTCTAAGTACTCTGTAGAAGAATACCTCACAATTTCTTTGGAGCCATTCCATGTGGCTAAGGTTTGGCAAAACCAGGTGCAACATACGTTTGATACATTCAGATAATATTAAGACTAAATTGCATTGAAATAAAAGCCTGATCCTATGTGTGTTTACTGAGAAGTCCCCCAGAATTCATGAGATCCTTTCCTAAGGAAATGTGGATAGGATTGCAGTTCTAATAATTTAATGGTGAACTTTAGTTCTGCTGGTAACAATGGAACCTAACAACTTCCTTTGCTGGATTATGCCCTTAGATCCCTTTTCCAGATTCAGTGGCCAGATGTATTAGAGGCCTTAGAAACACAAGTTTCTAGTGAATGACATTACAGTACATGGAAGATACATGCCTGCCAATGTTGTACACTGGGGACTGACACTGACTGGGGAAGGCCACAAATAAAAGTACAGAGCCACCGATTAGTCACATAGCCCATCACTGTTTATAGAGTAGACATTTTCAGTGTCATAGGCAAGATATCAATCCACACACAAAACCATGGTACTAACATTATGTTCTTCTACCATGGGGGAGCAGAGTTCTGGAGTTAAACACTTTCAGCAACTTGCATCATTTTTGGCCTTTTGTTTTTATTGTTATGTTTGACATTTCCCTACCAGTCTTCCTTTTTGTTTGTGTCTGTCTGTGTCAGTCTCTGAGTATTTCTCTTCTTCTAGCTTTAGGTGTCTCTTGGACATCTTCCCATTCATCCTCATCAACAACATTTTATGATGACCTCCGTGCCATGCTACAGAGTAAGTGGATAGCTCAAAGACTACAAGGATTTAGCATCATGCAATATTCTTTATACTTAATGAGATACAAGGAAAATGTGTATTTATAGGGTTACTGTTAAACAAAATAATTTGCTAGTGTATTTCTAAGTAAGAAGGATACCTGGTCCTACCTTCCAACATTCTGGTCAGTGAAGAAGGAGATACTAGGATGACTGACAGCCAAGGGAAGCACTTTTGATTATCTTCACTTTCCTGACACTGCATGTACTGCAATTTTAGAAATTGTTTGCTTCAGTTGCTGGATTATACTCATGGCTATCTATAGTTACCTGGCTAGCAACATGTACATGCTGTAGTTTGATAATAAATTTGTATGTCCATGGCACATGGTTCATTTTTCCAGCATAAGCATATTTGGCACATGGGGAAACTTGCTTGGTATAATAATTTTCACTAAGTAATTTCAAGAAGATTTGATTACTTATATTCAAGTTTTTGCTATTTTCAATTGTCGTACAATGGTCTTTGCCCATGTACCCTTAGGTGCACCTCCACAACATTTCTGGCTATGGGATGGCTTCTAGAAATTGGTTCAGTATTTCCTATTCCCATAGTCTCAGATAGGAAGAAGCTGCTTCATGCAATGGAGATTCTCTCTGAATTAATTAATTTTCTTGGTACCAACATGATGGCCAATACAAATTGCAAGCTTGGGTGAGCCTTGCTAGAAGTTAAGCACACATAAAAACATACAAAGTGTTGATTTCTTGGGTTAGAAGTAGATCCTTGCATTTTAGGAAAACCTCCTGTTTCTGCTAATTAATTTTTATTCAAACCAGCAAATCAGAAAAGTTAAATATTGATTTTTCTTATCTTTTTAAGGAGAAGATGTCCGTCAACTATTAATTGGGCCTCCAGGTCCCCCTGGGCCACCCGGAATGGGAGGAGATGGCTTATCTGTGTCACTGGACTATGATGAATTAACCAGACGAGTTGTCAACTACATGACTAGTAAAAATTCCTTTTAGAACTTATCCCCATAAATATGCATAGCTATTATTCTGTTACTTATGCAAATATCCCTGCTAGCATTCTGTGTGTGGCTCTATCAGTCTTGCTATACTATTTATCCATGCTATCCTATCATAAAAGTTTACTACCAGATATTGTGTGTACAGTTGGATTGATGTAACAGGCTCCGTGGTGCAGAAATGTATGGGATGCTGAAAATGTAAGGGGCTTTCACTCATGCCATGATTATAGTTCACCCATCTGATACTATCCAGTATTTTTACTTGACAAAGTTTTGCTGTATCTCACTGTAGTGTGTTCTGGCTGGCCCTCATTGTTGTATTGAAAATTGGCTTACAGCATCAGCATAAACCCGCTGGTTGTGAAGTTGTACTGCAGCAACATTTGATATGAAACATTCTAAGGGTTGTATTCTGCTGTATGTGAGTACAAGAATCATATGATGTTCTCTGCCCTCTCCTCTTCCAGGAGGCCTTTTCAATACCAGGAAAGTTTATTCCCTGGATGGAGGGATCCCCACTTACTAATAGCCCATGTGGGTTGGGTGGCTGCAATGGGGAGGGGAAGGGGCAAAATTGCTCCTTTCTCTTTCATGAGCAAAGCTCCACTCATGCCTGAGGCAGAAAGGCTGATCTTGTTCTTTTCCCTTTCCCCACTGCAGCCATCTGACCCTTGAACTGTTAGAACATGCTAGCCTTTTGACCCCAGGAATACATTTTCCCAGGCTTGGAAAGGCTCTGGAAGAGGGGAGGATGGGAAAGATTCTGGACCATTAGCACGTTCTTCTGGCAGTTCATGGGATCCAAGCCCAAGTATCTATTTCAGACCATTACTGGGCTAGAAAGGTGTTTCTAAGAACCATAAAGCACGTCCTGCCATAAGATAGTCAGTGATAAGACAATTCTTGATTTCCATCTGCACAAAATAATTCATAAATAATCCATAAATTAAAAATATATCTTGACTTGTTAGTTCACAGCATTTGTCAGAAGGAAATAGAGATTGTACCTTATCCAGAGAACATGTGTCCATCAGTTTTGGATTGTGGCTCATGTGGTAATGTTGAGTCACTCATAAATTAGGTTTTGCAAGTGTCCATGGTGCTACAGAACTGCTTTGAAAATGGACTTCAGGGATGGACTGGGGAGTTAAAATGACCCAGGAAAACACTAGGCCCATGCTGTGCTGTGAGCCAGGGCTAGGGGCCGCTTGGCTCCAACCTGACGAACAATGTGTGTCAGTTAAGCCATCATCTTCTTCTGCATCTCTGCCAATCAGCTGAGCTGAATGGCCACAGCTGTGCTATCAAAACTATTGGAGTTTGGCTCTGCTTTCTCCTTGTTGCCAGTGAGCCCAACGGGAACTATCCCAGGGTGACCAGTTCACCCTGATGGTCATTTTACAAAGATGCTCTCAACAAGCTTCTATCACCTTTATTACTTCAGTGCACTAATCAGAATATATTCCCAGAATAAGGCTATGAATTAGAGTAGTAAGTAGAACCTCTTGGCCCACGGCCTGGAAGTAACCAAACAAAATGGGCCATAAAAACATAATAGATTTGGCTTTCAGTGGCTAAAAATGCATAAAGGACTTGTCTTTTTGTCATGTGGTCCAATTATTTACATAAAGCAAAGATGTGAAGAAATTCTTTCTACAAAGAATACCAGAGTTTACCTCAGTGTCAAGGTCAAGCCAGAGTCATATTCACCTGTTGTAAGGAGAAGTTAAGTAAGACTGAAGCAATTCCACTGTTATGTTGTTAACATTCTGTCTACAGTGTGATCCCACACTCTGTGAATTATGGGCAACGTATAACCTTCTTTTCCATATTTCTTATTCAAATCTACAAAACATTTCATTTTCCAGATCTCTTACAGCCTTTCATTTGTTAACATTCTAGGTTCAGGAATTGGCATTGGGCTTCCTGGCCCTGCAGGTCCTCCTGGTCTGCCAGGGGCGTCTCGTGGTGACATCTTAGCCTTGCTCCAAGGTATGCCTTGCAGTCCTTTCAAGCTATCTTGGTGGGTCATACACAGGGGTCATTTCGTAGAAAAAGAGGTGCAGGAGCTCATTAGCATAACACATTAGCATAACTTATTTGCATAGGCCACACCCCCTGACATCACCGGAAGTTTGTCAGAAGGCAACACCCACCACATAGGCTCCACTGGACTGTTTTGGATTGCTAGCTATTGGGGGGGGGGAACGTGCAATTCTGTCCTCACAGAGGGAGAGCTCCTACCTGAATAAAACTTGGTCTTAAAGGTGCCACTGGACTGTTTTGGATCGGGGGGGGCGGGGGGGGCTCTGCAACTTACCTGGCTGCTTCTTGCTCTGACTGAGGGCTGCTGGGAGCAGGGGCTGGGGCTTGTTGCATGTGCCCGCCCCCTGGGCTCTTTATTGCCGGAGCTCCACTCCTGTGTGCTCCTGCAGGAAATTACCCCGGTCATACATATGTGCAGGCAAACATAAGACAAGGACGTCTCACACTGGGGCTGCCAGCAAGAACTGATGGTTAATTGTCTCATTCTTCCCTTCTCTTTCACTCCAGTATAGATCCACATATTTAGGTCTCCTTAATTCAGGTTCACCTCAGTCATTGGAAGCAGGTGGCTAGAGATTAAAATGGGCAGTTGCATCTCAGCTTTCAAAGGACATTTGTGCCCTGTCGTTGCTTTTAGCCACCTACAAACAGCAGAAGTTTAATCCAGGAGTACAAAGTGGATCATCCTAACTATTCTTTCTTTCGTTTGCCTAATCTTTCATTTGCTTCTTTCATTTGCCTAATCTTCACATCCATACACACAAATAACAGGGGGAGCCTTTTGTGTAAATGATGGTGGTTCTGCCAGGGAGACTGGGTGGGGAGTAATGGGGGGGACAGAAGTGCCTTGCCTAGATGGCGTAGAGGACAGCAGTTAGTGTTTCACTCATTCATTTCCTTTGTTCTTTCAGCCTCAGAGTTCAGTGGCATCGTAGGGCCACCTGGTCCCCCAGGCCCACCGGGAGTTCCAGGCAGCTCTCTTTCTACCCTCACTGCACAGGGTATCTTCACATACTTGCAAAGTAAGAAGTAATAGAGTCTGCCGTATGCTATATTCTTGTAGTGTCAGGTAGGAGCCTAAGCCATCACAGGAGGAAAATCTGCATGGCATTCTAGGATAGAAAATGGAAATTTAGCCACATGCTGTTCCTCGCACAACAACCTAGTGCTCCCCAACATTATGACATCCAGATGGGAAAGGAAGATGGAGCAATGGAGCATGATGGATCAGTAGTCCAAAATTCTGCTGGGCCAATGAAACCATCAGTGGCCGAATCCCATCTTGGACCATCTGAAGGAGCGTTATTTTATAATTTTGGTTTTGTCTGTCCAACCATTTTGCAAGTACTGTCTTAACATTCCATGAAAATCATATTAAGAAACAATGGTGGCTTTTAACAGAGTGTAGTAGGCTATATTCTAATTAAAAATATCCTTGAGAGATCCTTGCTGAATGTTGAACATATAGCGATCTTTACACTAAGACAGACCATTGGTCCACTGGTCTCACTGTTGTCTGCTCTGGCTGGTAGCAGCTCTCCAGGCCTGGGGCAAGGAGGGACCTTTATCAGCACCCGCTACCCAAAATTATTTAGCTACAGGTGCAAAAGAGGGACCCTACTCTATCTGCATACAAAGTGTAGCCCCTCTACCAAAAGTTAATTGTTTAATTAAAACAATCTCTTCTTTTTGCTCTCAGATGCAGGGTACTCCACAATTCCTGGACCCCCGGGGCCACAGGGACCCCCAGGACCCCCAGGCTTTTCAGGAACTGGCCTTGAGTCCTATGGTAACAAGATTTGGACCGATGAGTTCAGAAGTGAATTGATCCAGTACCTTACTAGTAAGACCCTTTTCATTCTGTTTGTGATCGTCAGATGTTGCTTTTCCTAAAATGCTAGGTCTGGGCCTCATCCTGGCTCTCTGCCTAGGGATGATCTCATACTGTTTTTAGCAGCTGAGAAATACATACTCCAGCTGTTATCCTAGTGAAAAACTGAAAGTGTTCATTATGGTTTTATTTTAAGGAGGACTCATAAGTTTTCTTTATTTGGAAGTCACATTTATGGAAGAGATCATTTAATTTGTGCTTCTTTAACGGGAGGCAAAAGGCTAGAATAATGGGGGTACCACCACTTCTTCAGAATGACACCCCCCTCAACAAAGTATTTCCAAAAACTGACTCTTCTGTGGGTACTATCTTGTACATGACCCTGAATTGCTGTTGCTATGGTGCCTACATGGTTACATTCATGTAAACTATGGGATGATATATTTAAACAAGAGTTAAACCTGGTTAGTTTTGTGCAACAATATACATACCATATGTACATAGCAGACTACTTTTTAAAATAAATCCCTGCTAGTTTGCTGTTTGCCTCCAAGGATAATCTTAGGAAGTTATTCTAAGCTCCCTGGCATTGCCAGTGTTCTGGAAGACATCAGTAGAATCATAGAATCACAGAGTTGGAAGGGGCCATACAGGCTATCTAGTCCAACCCCTTGCACAATGAAGGATCAGCCTAGAGCATCCCTGATGAGTGTTTGTCCAGCCACTGCTTAAAGACTGCCAGGGAGGGGGAGCTCACCACCTCCCTAGGCAGCTGATTCCACTGTTGAACAACTCTTACTGTAAAAAAGTTTTTCCTAATATCCAGCCAGTACCTTCCTGCCCTTAATTTAAACCCATTATTGCGAGTCCTATCCTCTAAGTGATAGCCCTCCTCTAAGTGACAGCCCTTCAAATACTTGAAGAGAGCAACCATGTCCCCCGTCAGCCTCCTCTTCTCCAGACTGAACATTCCCAAGTCCCTCAGCCTTTCCTCATAGGGCCTGGTCTCCAGGCCCCTGATCATCCTCATCGCTCTCCTCTGCACCAGCTCCATTCGGTCCACATCCTTTTTGAAGTGAGGCCTCCAGAACAGCACACAGGTGGGGCCTGACCAATGCAGTGTACAGCAGGACTATGACATCTTGTGATTTGGATATTATGCCTCTGTTGATACACCCCAAGATTGCATTAGCCTTTTTTATCACTGCATCACACTGGCTGCTCGTAAGAGCCAGTATAGTGTAACAATTAGAGTGTCAGACTAGGATCTAAGGCTGTGGTGAGATGTGCCATTTGGTGTGGTCTGGAAGCGCTCCTATTCCATTGATTGGTATTTGGCATGGAGTTGCTTGATCACACATCCCAGTATAATCCATTTTGCTGCGGATGCAGCCCATCACTGGGCAATCAGACAGCATGTTCAGGCGAGTGGTGGTGGGAGGTTTGCCTTTTTGTGTGCATGCACATAAACAAGGAATTGAAGCCCCATGCACAGAGCTCTCCATAGACTAACTATGTGGTTATATGCATATTGCTAAGCAGCGGCGGGGGGGGAATGGCGCCCAGTCAGGATGGACCAAGCAGTCCATCCCGATGGCCTGAGTGTGCGCCTGAGTGATAAGACTAGGAAAAAACCTGTCTTTGACTCATCAGCAAGTGTTAGGACTGGACTTTCCCTGGTGTCTTGTAACTACATTTCTGTGGCAAGGCAGCATGCGTTGCCAACAACTGCAGGACCTTTCCTAGATGTTGCTGTCTGATCGTGCACTTTAGATCTATCAGGCATTTGCAGCTAAGTCAGATCTAAAGGCATGTCTGACCACAGCCTAAAAGACCCAAGTCAAATCCCCAATCTGTTCTGAGGCTCACTGGGTGACCTTTGGCCAGTGACTGCAATAAATAGGAGGAGAATGAGAGGGAGGAAGCCAAGAGCAAGCCACTATCCTCCTCTTCCTACGTGTTCCCAGGATCAATTCACATGATAGAAATCCATCATGGCCAGCGGAAGGATTTAGTATTGCACATGCACCAGGCGTTCCATGCCTTCCGAGTTTTCAGGCGCTGTATTCCAATTACAGCAGCAGTACATTTGGAGAAGGGGGTTCTCCGGTGTGCCACTGTTGTGACTGGAGTACACACCCTTATACACTGGGAGGCACAGAGCTCCTAGTGCATATACATGTAGGCCACAAGACAGCCGGTTTGGTGTAGTGGTTAAGAGTACGGACTCTAACCTGGGAGAAATGGGTTTGATTCCCCACTCCTTCACGCCAGCTGCTGGCGTGACCTTCGGTGAGTTACAAAAGTTATCTCAGAACTGTTATCTCAAGAGCAGTTCTTAAAAGAGCTCTCTCAGGCCCATCTACATCACTGGGTGTCTGTTGTGGGGAGGGGAAGAGAAGGTGATTGTAAACTGCTCTGAGACTCCAAGTGAAGGGAAGGATATAAATCCAATCTCCTCCTCCTCCTCCTCCTCCTCCTCTTCTCCTTCTCCGTATCATATAAATTGGCCCCCAGCTAAATATTTTGCTTCTCAAACTCTACACATTGTTGCAGTTTTTGACAAGCACCCAATTTGTAGGGTTTGGGTCTTCAACAGTACATCTAGAAGATATTAAGGCCATTGTTCAGCTAGCCCAATTCTACTCTGACAGCAGCTTTCTAAGGCAGAAAGATGTTTCCTGGTATTGGTACTTGAAACTGAGTTTTAAATGTAGATGTTGGAGACTGAAACTGGGACCTTCTGCATGCGAAGTATATACACTACTACTGAACTCTGAGGTCAGAGACTGAACTGAAAATTACCAAGTTGTATGGATCATTGTAAACTATTGTACAGTGTTTCTAGTTCATCCACAATACCCAAGTGGGAACAGAACACAACCTCAATTAGTGCACCATGGCCAGCCTTTAGCAGTTAGCACTGCTGATCCCTTCCTGCTGCAGTGGAATACTACTGCTGATCAGTACCTATATTCCATCCATCCCTGGTACTAGTCATGACTGTCCACACTCCAACAGAGCAACCTATCTCTGTCTCCAGAGTCCTTCATGGTTAGTGCAGTGCCATTAACACCCACTTTTTATTGTAGGTGATGACATACGTGGTTTTATCAGAGGTCCTCCTGGGCCACCAGGGCCACCTGGACCACATGGAGATGGAAGCATTATGTCTGGATATTACAGAGAGGCCACAAATTCAGAATCATCCTATGGCAGGTCCATGAATTCAGACGTATCCTATGATGCCACAGGGGGATACGGTGGTTCAGTCGGAAGTAATGGAGCACGCAGTGGTGCACTTGGAGCAGGTGGAACTTATGGTGAATCTCTGAGCACAGATGGATCACAGATGAGATCAACTGGGGCAGGAGGATCATATGGTGGATCATATAGATCATATGGTGGACCATTGGATTACAATGAGTTGGCAGTTCGAGTGTATGAAAGTATACAGAGTAAGTCTGTTCTTGTGCTATCTAAAATGTTCAGGGTGGACAGCTATACTTTCAATTAAAAAAAATATCTAAACAATAACCACACTCTAAAACCTACCAATTTTACCTATTTCATTAAAATATATGGAATGCTTCTGGGAAAATATTCAGACTGGTGGTAGAGAGAAATAACTGAAGATATTGGAGAAGTGAGGACAGTTTTGTTTTTGATAAGCTTGTTGTATGGGTGCGATACTCATCTTGTTCTTTAATCAGCCTTCACAATCTCTGGCAATGGTGGACTGATTTGGGACATGGAGCTTGAACAACAACAAAGTTGTGTTTCAGCTGAAGTCAATGCAAAGAAAGACTGCAACAAGTTCCCATAAGGATCCCAGAATGATGGATTGTATGTGGAAGAAGTGCCTGGCAATTTTCCACATCTTTGTTGCCAGTGATGCTCTTACCCATGTCTAGGATTCAGCTTTTAGCTCTGCACATAGTGACAGATCCACATAATCTCTTAGGACTGGGCTACATGCTTAGCAAATGTGAAAATGTGATTAAGGGCTACTGGAACTTAAAATTAAGAGCTCTTGAGTTCCAGCAACTGGACTAAACTTATAAACTAGCCCATAGACCAAACAAGAAACAGACTTTGGCCAGCAATGTGGTATTGCACTACCTAAAAGGGGGAATCAAAGCACAGTAGTCCTTGTATTGTATAGTGCCATCTTCAAAGGGTTATAGAGGAGTGGTCCTGTGCTTGGTATGCCCCAGCATTATCAGCACCAGCATTCCACAGAATTTCAGAGACTGGCTGCTTCCGCACATTGCTAGATATAGAGCTCTAGCAGTTGTTTGCAACTGAACTGGCTTGTCTACACGATCATCTATAGCCCAATGATAGTGCAATGTTCAATGATGTGAGGATGCAACTAAAGTTGAATAAAGCAATACACACTCTTGGGGCCATTATAAAGGTCCAATGACAAGTTATGATTTCTTCTGCATTTATTTTAAAGGTCATTTTTTAATTTTGCAAATTTAGCTTCAGGACTGCTTTAACAAGAAGAACGCTGTGGACAGAACTGTAACATTTTCCTTCCCTACAATATTCTCAACAGAAATAGCCATCACTAAGATGCCTACTTTGGGGGGGGGGAATATAGGTACCTCTTAGTTTCCCCCAGCTGATGTGATCCTGGCAGCTAAATTTGCACCAGAAAAGAATTGTTTAATGTCAAAATGGAAGAAATCTTAACATGTAATTGAGCGATATAAGGCTGCATTGGAATAAGTTGTCCACTTTTCTGGAGACAATCTCAGGAGCAGGAGCCTAGATTCTTGGAGCTGGGATTGTTGTTGCAATGGATTTTTGTTGTTGTTGTTCAGCCCAATCTGATGTAATTTTTCTATATATATGTGCCCAAATGGATTACTTTAAAAAGTAATAAATGCCAAACATTACATCAGATTTAGCTTCAAATTAATGCCCATGCTAAGCACAACGTGTCAGCCATGCACTGTATCTTCTTCAGAATTTTGTGGATACTTTGAACTTGTATTTACAGGGGGAAGCAACACTCTCTAAGAAGACAGACTTTCTGTACTGACTCTTTAGAAAATGGAAAATTTCCAGTTGTAGAGCAAGCATTTTAAAGAATCAGGACTGAATCTTCTTTCAGATTGGGGGGGGGGATCACCCACTATTGTGTTTTTGGTGCTCCATTCAAATTTGTGTTTAAATGTTCCAGACAGAGGGCTCCTCCAGGACATGACTTACACTATGCAAGGACCACCTGGGCCTCCAGGGCCTCCTGGCATCAGCAGAGTGTTTGCCTCCTATGGAAACGTCACTGAAGACCTCATGGATTTCTTCAGAAGTAAGTGGTATCCTGATTGTCACTTACTATAGGACACTACTGCCTATCTCCACCTGCAGCTGTGCTTTTGTTGGGTAGAAAGTAGCCTAGCTGCAGATAGACTAACAAAGCCTTGTAGCCCTCTGAAAGAGGCTGATGCATATGCTCAGTATCTGTTCATTCTCTAAGGTGCTTCAGCCAGGGTCCTGGACCTTCTTGGTTTGCAGAGCTAAATGACTTCCTTTAAAGGGCCTAGGGGACAGAGCTTATCACAGGAGTGTTGGTCAGGACTCCTGTTTGAAGTTACAGCATTATTAGAGCTGCAATAAGTAGTAGATCTTCATAGACATGCTATTTTGTTTGTTTTCTGTAGCTTATGGAACTATTCCAGGCACACCTGGACAGAAAGGAGAGTTGGGATTCCCAGGACCCAAAGGTAAGAATTTGATTGCCATGCCTACCAAGATTAGAGAATCCAAGACACCGAGATAGATGCCCAACAGTCCTCCCCTCTTGACCCACACTAAATGGAAACCTAGAAAAGTTACATCATGTAATTTCAGTGTTCAGAATATATTTATCAATACACACTTATAGTAGAACATGTCATTGAGTAATCTTCTGTGAAGGCAAACATGTCATATGGGATTGCCCAGAAGCCACGAAGATTAACATGTTATATTTTTGAACTGTAAGGTTTTAAATATTTTCCTGCAAATTAATCTTGGTTGATTCAACAGTCGGTTCTGGATTTTTTACTGAATATCGGGATCACATCAGGGTCCTGCGAGAAAATGGATCTGAATCAAAAGTAAAGAGATGATAATTTCTAATAACATCAGCAATGGTTGAGGTTAACAACCTTAACCTTAACCATTACTTACGTTATTGGAAATTATCATCATTTTACTTTTAACTCAGATCCATTTTCTCTTCATTTACAGCCAGATAACGGCAGATGTGTGTGTGTTTTTATGTAGGCTAGTAGAGATTAGTGACAGTGATTGGGGAAGACTCCTTGGTAGCATATTGTTGATTGGCCTTGGAGTGATGACTTTACTCCCATGTAAGAGTTTAAAGACAGTGAGGGGAAAGATGTAAAATCCCTGACATGCTGGTATTTCTAAACTTAATTCTTGTCTTCTAAGGAGTGCAGAGATCTGGAGTACCTTAAAAGCAGTGTCTGCACAAAGCAATCTGCTTCATCATATGCATGAAATGAACAGTGAAGCGCTTGAGTTAACTTTCTGTCTGAGGCTGTGATCACACACACTAAATAATCCACTTTCAATGCACTTTCCAACTTGATTTTACTGTGTGAACTGGCAAAATCCAATCTGAAAGTGGACTGAAAGTGGACTGAAAGTGAATTATTTAGTGTGTGTGATCGCAGCCTTACACACATAGAGCTTTTAGTCTGAATCTGCAGTACAAGGACATCCTGGTAGCAGAAATGCAACACATTTCTCAGCTCATTGACAGAACTTGTTTTAATTCCTAGGCTCTGGCCATTTTTACAGCATGCAGGTTTAATGTGTTATTTGTGAAAGATTAAATGCAGAAGCAAGCCAATTTAAACCAAACACTCATTCTACTCAGTATGTTTTGTAATTTATGAATCTAGATTTTTAAAAAATCACTAATGTCACTTTTGAAAACTGTCTTGAGATGACATACCATAAAGTGGAGGCTGGGGTTTAATCTATTAAAGAAATTAGTAAAACTGCATTCTCATAGACTGATAACATGCAAAGATCTTGCTGCCCTGTTTTTATATATACACACATCCTCCTGGGGCTGGTCCAGCTGGCTCAAACTCCTCAAGCTATTAATTGGGATGACGATATGCTTAGGAGTACCAATAAGTAGTGTGTAATTCAAGAATTGCTCCCAACCTTCGCATGGAGTCCTGGGGCACACTGCTTTTTTTAAAATCACGACAAGAAGGTGTTTGAGATGGAAAAATCGTTTGGACCAACCTTACTCCCTCCCTTTGCTGGACAAAGGCATGTTCTTCAGGCAGCTGTGCTACTCCTGGCTAGGCAGTCATGATAAAATTATCTTCTTTGCTTTTGCAGGTGACATTGGACCAATGGGGCCACCAGGCCACCAAGGCCCAAGGGGACCAAAGGGTGAAAAAGGCGAGAAAGGTATTTATCATTTCCAAATTAGATGAATGCTTTATATAGTTTAAGACACAGAAGCATAGTACACACCCAACATCAACATTTTTGAGATCGAGAAGATGCGGAGGAAATTGGGGGGAGATGCGGGTCAAAATGCAGCTGCGCAGCGAATAGTGTGAAATTGACCAATGTGACCCGGGCAAACAGAAGAGCGAGGGTGGCACAGCTGCTTGTGGAGAACTGGTCCATGTCTCCAATATGCCCTTCTGTATTGTTAGCCTTGAGGAAATTATTCCTTTCCCCTTTTTCAAGACAATAATTAAGACAAAGTATAAAAAGCAACACACTCAGTCACATTCTTTAGGCCAGAGTACAGGATGCGTTACATGGTATAAAATTCCTGCATGCATGTTGCTTCTACCTAGGAAATATGCCGGTTTTCACATGAGTAAATGAGATTGTTTGGACATAATTTGGCTACGCCTGAGGGATTCTCAGGATCGAATGCTTCTTCACCTTCTCCCACAGACTAACAATCAAATTAGAAGTCAAACAGTAGTTTAGAGTTATGTCCAAACCATAAACTATGCTTTGCTCTTTTCTTTACGATCCAAGATTCCACACTCTAGTTTGTAGGGAAGAATGCAAATCATACCATTTGGTGCAGCAACAACAATAAACTATGGGTTTTTTTGGGGGGAAAGCATCCAAGTCTAATTAGACTGCAGCACACAAGGGGTGGGGCCCACAAGAGCAAGGATCTGTCAGCTTTGTTCATGTACATTTCTCAATTTGAACCATACCAATGGCATACATAGGTTTTCCATTTCTTTACAAAAAATGCAGTATACCACTAATTTCTGGCAATGCTAGTTTTTCATCTTGTTGAGTTTTAATAAAATAACCCTTCATCTCCTCTTTTTCTTAGGTGAACATGCATATGGACGAAGGAAAAGGAGAAGCATTGGGGTCTAAGAATGTGGCTTAACATACAGACTTCCTAAATTGTTCATGGTTTATTTTTTCCCTCCCAGTGGAGACAAAGCCTTAGTTTCCAGAGGCTTCCAGTCATCAATTTTCCTCTAAGACCTAGCATTTGAAGGATGATATTAATGGTTTTATTTCACTGATGTCTAAAATCTGGAAAGGGGGGGGGGAATTTCTTTGTTAATGCCTGTAGATTTGTGATGGTTTAGAACTGGGTCTAAGTACAACCAGTATCTAAGCCTGAGCAATTTAGCCTTTCGGATACAACCACACCTAATTTCTCCAAATGAAAATTAGAATGAGAATTCTTCAGAAAGAAACTAAAAATCAGATGTATAGTTTGCATAAATTGCCTTGATGAGCTGGAATGTGTACAATGTATATCCAAAATGACCAAGGATCTAGATTTAAAGAAAGATACATGGCAATAAGGAGCCTAACCAATACATGGCAATAAGGAGCCTAACCAATTCCCCCTTTAAGGCAAATGTGCAAAAATGTGAAGGACCTTGGGGCTTGTCAGGATTTAAGCACTTTCCCATAGAATCTAGTTTAAAAACAACGTTTGCTGTGGTGCTTTCTATTGCATTAAGTTTTTAAAAATCCATTTTACTATACAGCTTTCCAATTAAAGGTTTGACTTTCTTTAGTGGCAACTAGACACTAAGTATTATGATAGACATGAATGGTGGCAGGGGCAAGCAGGCACAGTCATATGTGCTGTGAACCAGTAAGCACTGGGTACATGGCTTACCCTCTCATACTGAGTTCAGTCACTCCTTGACAAAGCTAGCAGTTTTATCTGGGACAACTCTGCCCTCTTTTGCTTGTTTACAGATATGCACTCACTTTCTAAAGTGCTGTCTGTCTTTGATGGGCATATGCCACTTCTATTAACAAGAACTGATATGCACTTAGGGGAATATAGGCTACAGGTCTGGGCTATTGTCTTGAAGTTTCCAAAAAGGCAATTAAGGCACATTTTCACATAAGCAAATTTGCATGCTGTAGTTTCCACAGCCACATAATATGCATGCAACATGGCAGCAATTGGGTGGTGGTCAAGTATGGCCAATTGCTTTTGACAAATCCGTCATAATGACATGCTGATAATCTTCCTAACTTAGGCCATACTAAAAGCACAGCAATATGCAGATAACTAAAGTGTTTCTTTTACAAAGCCAATTCTGAAAAAGACTCTCTTTATAGTTTTCAACTGTTAATGAATGGAACCTGTGAAACTCACAAAATTTTACTTTGATGAAAGTGTTAAAATCCTGAATCACTGATATGTGCCTGAAAGTTGTCAAACTGATACACTTAGAAACCATGGCTTCTTCTAATTCAGCCTTATTTTCAATGGTGCTTTAAGATTTAGTATTTTGTTACTAAGGCTAAATAACTTGACATTAGCTAATGGGAAAAGGACATTACAGAAATAACGTGGATAGCTCATTTGGACAGCTTGGCAACCTAGCCATCAACCTAGCCATCAAATACTATCTTGAATTTTCTCCCATACAGATAGCTGGCTAAGTATACTACTTCGCTGCAGTAGTTTTTTGGGTTGCAGGCTAACTCCATAGTCTCTGTGGGGCTTTAGTCATGTATTTCTCCACACACTCTACTAATACATCACAAACTACTTCTGATACTCAGGGGAGTATCAAAGTTGTATTTAATATGGCACTAGTGTGGTCCCTTTGCTAATGTACAAAACAAAACAAAACAAAAACCCTAAGTGGCTCAGTGGATGCATGCAAAGCCTTGAGTGCCATTAAAGAGCTACTCTGGCTTGTGGCTATTGTCATGATGATCCATGGAAAAAAGGTTCCTATTTAATTCAAGCAACAGTTCTAATGAATACAAATAGGATATGATGAATATCTTGCAACTGACATTTTCTTGTTTATGAGAACACAAAATTCAATATACAAGGAGCTTGCTGTGCATTCAAACTCTGTAAATGTTAAAGAGACATTTGCTTTTTTTAAAAAATAAAAACTTATTCTTTTTAAAGGTGCATTTTTTCCTTATCCTATCTCCCAAGGGTTAAGATGCATCCATATCACACAATCGCCTTATGAAGTATGTGAAGAGGTGATTGGCAGAAGCTTAAAAATTAAATCCAAGTTTCACACCTCCAAACTCATCAGGCTATCCTTCCCCTCCAATATTTCCTTTGTGTTGCGATGTTTCATGGTGTTTCTTTGAGTAATGGGAGCATCTATAACTAAACCAATCCTTTGTCCAGTGTTCAGCAATATGTTATGTGAACACACATGAAGCTGCTTTATACTGGATCAGACCATCCGTCCATTAAGGTCAGGATCGTCTACTCAGACTGGCAGTGGTTCTCCAGGGTCTCAGGTGGAGGTTTTTCCCATCACCTCCTGCCTGGTCCTTTTTAACTGGAGATGCCAGGGATTGAACCTGGGACCTCTGCATGTAAAGCAGAAGCTTTTCCAGTGAGCCACAGCTGTCTAGTCTGACATGGCAATCCTATGAATTAGTGACCCCCCAAATGTCCTGTCGTTGACAGCCTTGCTCAGGTCAAGCAAGCTGATGGCCAAGACTTCCTTTATTGAGTCAGTCCATCTCATATTAGGTCTTCCTCTTTTCCTACTGCTTTCAGTAACATATATGAGAAATTACTAAACAGTAATTCTATCATCCTTGGTGACATCATCATCATCTGTATTCTAATAGCTGAGTTGGCCAAATCTGAGAATACTTAAATCTCGAGACTGGACCTGTAAAGGCTCAGATCTTTTGACAAACTTTAACAGCACCCCAGGTTTGCAGAAAAATATGTAATCTTAGAAGGGGGTATTATAAACCCCAAAAATGATATAAGGAGCACCTGTAGCTTTAAAATGGATGCCCTCAGTGGCCAACAGGCTTCGGGTCCGTCATGAGGACAAGGGGAGGGAAAGGTCCTTTTCAGGACTGTTTTGGCCTTTGAAGGAGGACTCATCCCAACTTGATCCCACATGACTACCATGACTCACCTATGTCTGACTGCTTAGTAATGTTCAACAGCAGCTATCACACCTGGACCAGACAGAGGGCTGAGCCCAACCCAACCAAGCCCCACACAAGGTGGGAGAAGTGGCATCCAGCCCACTAGAGCCCCATACAAGGGGCAAGATGTAGAAGGTGATGGCGCCTGACTTGGTCTGTACAAAGCTAGACAAACAGGCTCCAGGCCCGTAGCCAGGAAAAAAAAATTTTGGGGGGGGGGCACTGAATATTGCTGGGAAAAATATCAACAACCTCAGATATGTAGATGATACCACTCTAATGGCAGAAAGTGAAGAGGACCTCAAGAGCCTCTTGCTAAGGGTGAAAGAAGAGAGTGCAAAAGCTGGCTTGAAACTCAACATCAAAAAAACTAAGATCATGGCATCTGGTCCCATCACGCCTGGGCAAATAGAAGGGGAAGTAATGGAAGCAGTGACAGACTTCACGTTCCTGGGATCCAAGATCACTGCAGACAGTGACTGCAGCCATGAAATTAAAAGATGCCTGCTCCTTGGGAGGAAAGCTATGGCAAACCTAGATGGCATAATAAAAAGTAGAGACATCACCCTGCCAACAAAAGTCTGTATAGTCAATGAGATGGTATTCCCAGTAGTCATGTATGGCTGTGAGAGTTGGACCATAAGGAAGGCCAAGCACTGAAGAACAGATTCTTTTGAACTTTGGTGCTGGAGAAGACTCTTGAGAGTCCCTTGGACTGCAAGGAGATCAAATCAGTCAATCCTAAAAGAAATCAACCCTGGAAGGCCAGATACTGAAGCTGAAATACTTTGGCCACCAAATGAGGACTACTCACTGAAGAAGACCCTGATGCTGGGAAAGATTGAAGGTAAAAAAGGGGGATGGCAAAGGATGAGATGCTTAGGCAGTGTTATTGATGCAACAAACATGAAATTAAGCAAACTCTGGAGGATGATGGAAGACAGGAGGGCCTGGTGTAATGTGGTACATGGGGTCACGAAGAGTCGGACTCGACTGTGCGACTGAACAACAACAACTGGAGAGACTGGTGGGGCATGATGTCACAAAATAAAAATTAAAAAAGACATGTCCCTGCTCTGGAGATCAAGTGCACATACCTGTCTTCTGCCAAAGCTCTCACTGGTATTTCTTTCAAGCAGGAGATTACTCTAGTCTGAGGGCCCCTTTCAAGCCCCCTCCCCCCAGGGATGCTTCACAGCCAGCCTACCAGCCCAGCGCGTCAGTCCCAGCCAGCCCGGCCCAGGGGCAGGGAACTCCTTCCTCTGACACAGGAGCTGGATGGGGAACTCTGTCCAGCTGCCTTGTGGAAGGCTTTCATCCATCAGACCTTCTGGGGGTATCGACGAAGGTGAGGGCTGGCTGTGGTGCACCCAGAGCTCCAGATCATTGCTAGGGGAGCCCTCCCCCATGAGGCAACACTGGAGCTCCCTTCTCAGGGAGGAGGCGAGGCAAACCATGGAGCTCCCCTAGGCAGCAGACTTGACAGGACAGGGGCAGAGCTGAGAGCCTTGAGGATTGGGGCCCCCTCTCCTTCCATTGAGGCTGACCTGATTCAGGAGAAGGCAGGCATACCAGCCGGCTGGAAAAGATGGCATCAGATCAGCATGCTAGAGGAGGAGGCATAGGCAGGACTTGATGCAGCGTGGCTACATTTAGACTTGAAAGAATTATTTTAACTTTGGCGATTCCGTTTTGTGGGGCATGGCTGTCGGTTAAGGGGCTGTGGCCCTGAGATGCCCCACTGTGGCTAGGGGCCTGATGGGCTCCCAGCTTGGCTCAAGACAAGGCAGAGGGTGGTGGCCAGGCCAGGCATAAGAAGAGGCACAGGGTGGCACCCGAGACTTCGGTGAGGCAAAGGGTGGTGCCCGGCTTATGCCACCTGAGTCCCATGAGGTGGGGAAGATATCCGGCTGGCCCAGCCAACATGAAAGAGGTAGTGCCCAGCCAGTAGGAGATGAAGTTGTGCCTGGTCTGCCTGATGTGAGGAAAGCAGCACCTGACAGATTGGCAGAGGAAGGCTGCCCCTTCCGCTGCCCTATCTGGGGTCAGGACCCTTTCACAGGGTTTTTCACTCCTAGCCTGCTCTTGCTTGTAGGGTGTTTGTGAGGATAAAGTGGAGGAGTATGAAATAAAGTGCTTTGATTCCCTATTGAGGAGAAAGGTGGGCCATAAATGGAGTAAATAATAATAAAAATAGCTGAAGATGGAGGGATAGATACAAGGTTGGCAGGTGAGTGGGAAGGAGAGAAGGAAGCAGAGAAGATTGAGGATATAGGGGTTGTCAGGTGGAGGGAAAGAAGAAAGGATATAGTATAGGGAAGCTGAGACAAGGGAAAATGGGCTGTCCTTCACAAGACCTTGCAGGTTTCCACAGTGCAATTGGGCCAGCCCTGACAACTGGCACCATGCAACTGGGCCATAGTTTTCCCGGGTACACGGTGCCAGGGGTAGGGGAGGGAGGCACCATGCAACTGGGCCATAGTTTTCCTGGGTATAGGGTGCCAGGGGTAGGGGAGGGAGGAAACCTGAAGATGGGGAGAAAACAGAGATAGGCTGTCTAGTGGATGGGAAAGAATGGAGGCAAGAAAGGGAGAGATGGGGGATTTCAAGGAAGGGAAAGATCTCTGAAGAGTGGGGGAGAGGAGGAGGAGGAGAATAAGAATGGATTTATACTTCCATCTGTGCAGAAATGGCTACAACAGAGGAGCTTAGGAACTAACTTTTCATGAAACAGTGGGCTGCAATGAAGAAACAGTACATTCACTCTCACAGAATGAAGCAAATCCAGTGCATATCTACTGTATGTACAAGTGATAGACTGCACTTTTAAGAAGCTCAGATGTGCTGTACAAACAGGTAAAGGACTGTGAAGGGCTGATTCTTCAAAGAGCCAGAGAGCCTTGAGTGACAGGCTGTTCCAAGACATCTGATTGGTTAGCATCAGCTGAGCAGAGAAAGACTTCTGAACTGGATGCTGAGGAGGACTGAGTCCGATTTCAGCCTTATCTGAGAGCAGTTTAACACAAACAGGAGAACTGGGGGAAAGCTGGCAAGGAAGTCTGGGAAATAGGCAAACACTCCCATTCAGGCCAAGGAAAGGGGATAAATCTTCTAGACAGAGAAGAAAATTCCCTACCCAGTCAAACAGGGAGTTAGCTCTGAAGAGTACAGAGATCCCTGGTCTGGTGTGGTTAGAAACTGCTTGTAGAAACCTTACAAGTCAGTTAAAAACTCAAGACAAGTACTGCTGTTTCAAGACAAGGGGTTTGAGTACTGAGTTTGAGTACTGAAAAGAGTGTACCAGCCTTCTGGAAACCAAAAGTTAGATAGTAGTCAAAGAAAGTGCACTAGAGTGCTTGGGGAAAACACTGGAACAAAAGCCTCTCAACATAGATTTAAGTCACTGAAAAATTTATGAAACTCTCATTAGCCTGACATAAGAACTAAAGTCTGTGCATATAGCGGTTTTACCTCAGAAATTTCAACCCCTGATTTCACCTGACCTTTCCCCTCTAGGTTAAATGTTATTTTCAAATTTCAAGATGCATCGAGTGCTGTTTAAGTTGTTTAAGTTAAAGTGAGCTCCTGATCCTTCCCTCAGGTTCCTGGGCTGAGTCAACAGGCAAAATATCATACGGTGACAAGGTGGGACAGCCAGAGCTCTTCAGCAAAGAAGAAAATACATTACTAGGGCGGTTCAGTCAGTAAAGGAAAAGAAAAACGGAGGGAAAATCTTGACTTTGAGGGAGGGAAGTGGACGGGGGCATCCTAGTACACATACAACATCTCTTCAGCAGTCAAAAGTTAGAACATTTTGTGTGAAGAAGTACTTCCTTTTATCCGTTCTAACCCGACCGCTCAGCAATTTCATTGAGTGCCCACGAGTTCTTGTATTGTGAGAAAGGGAGAAAAGTACCTCTTTCTCTACCTGCTCTATCCCATGCATAATCTTATAAACCTCAATCATGTCTCCCCTCAGTCGTCATTTCTCCAAGCTAAAGAGCCCTAAGCACTTTAACCTTTCCCCATAGGGAAAGTGTTCCAACCCTTTTATCATTCGAGTTGCCCTTTTCTGCACTTTTTCCAAAGCTGTAATATCCTTTTTAAGGTGTGGTGACCAGAACTGCACACAGTATTCCAAATGAGGTTGCACCATTGATTTATATAGGGGAATTATGATATTGGCCGATATGTTTTCAATACCCTTCCTAATAATCCCCAGCATAGCATTGGCCTTTTTTATTGCAGTCACACACTGTCTCAACATTTTCAGTGAGTTATCTACTACAACTCCAAGATCTCTCTCTTGATCTGTCTCTGCCAGTTCAGACCCCATCAACGTGTATTTATAGTTAGGATTTTTGGCTCCAATGTGCATCACCTTGCACTTGGCCACATTGAACCCCATTTGCCATGTTGACGCCCACTCGCCCAAAATTGACAGATCCCTTTGGAGTGCCTCACAATCCTCACTGGTTTTCACCACCCTGAACAACTTTGTATCATCCGCAAATTTAGCCACTTCACTGCTTACTCCCATCTCCAAATCATTAATGAACAAGTTAAAAAGCAGTGGACCAAGTACTGATCCCTGCGGTACCCCACTGCTTACCACCCTCCACTGAGAAAATTGCCCACCTACACTCACTCTCTGTTTTCTATGAACTAGCCAGTTTTTGATCCATAAAAGGACTTGTCCTTCTATCCCATGATTTTTGAGCTTACTTAGGAGCCTTTGATGAGGAACTTTATCAAAAGCTTTCTGGAAGTCAAGGTAAATAATATCTATTGGATCCCCCTTGTCCACATGTTTGTTCACCCCCTCAAAGAACACTAACAGGTTAGTGAGACAAGATCTTCCCTTACAGAAACCGTGCTGAGTCTGCCTCAATAGGTTTTGTTCATCTATGTGCCTACTAATTCTTTCCTTAATAATGGTTTCCACCAATTTACCCGGTATCGACGTCAGACTGACTGGCCTGTAATTTCCCGGATCTCCTCTGGAACCCTTTTTAAAGATGGGAGTGACATTAGCTACCTTCCAATCCTCAGGAATGGAGGCAGATTTTAAGGAAAGATTACATATCTTTGTCAGGAGATCTACAAGTTCACATTTGAGTTCTTTCAGAACTCTCGGATGTATGCCATCTGGGCCTGGTGATTTTTCAGTTTTTAAGTTGTCTATCAGTTTTAGGACCTCCTCTCTTGTCACCTCAATCTGACTCAGGTCTTTCAACACCCCTCCTGAAATCAGTGGTTCTGGAGTGGGCAAGCACTTCTCATCTTCCACAGTGAAGACGGAGGCAAAAAATGCATTTAGCTTCTCAGCCATTTCCCTATCATCCTTCAATACTCCTTTTACCCCTTGGTCGTCCAAGGGCCCCACTGCCTCCCTGGCTGGTTTCCTGTTTCTAATGTATTTGAAGCAAGTTTTATTGTTGGTTTTTACGTTTTTTGCTATATGTTCCTCATATTCCCTTTTTGCCTGCCTTACTACAGACTTGCATTTTATTTGCCATAGCCTGTGTTCCATTTTATCAGCCTCACTGTGACTAGCTTTCCACTGCTTAAAGGAATCTTTTACCTTTTACAGCTTCCATTACTTTGTTTGTTAACCATGCAGGTTAACAGGTTAACATCCTATACCTGTTTGTGCCTTTCCTATCCTGCGGAATATTTTTTTTTTGAGCTTCTAGGATCGTAGTTTTAAATAGTTTCCAAGCTTCCCCAATGGTTTTGACCCTTTCTACGTTTCCTTTCAGTTTCCTCCCCACAAGGCCCCTCATATCAGAGAAGTTACCCCTTTAAAGTTAAAAGTGTTTGTGTCAGTCTTTTTGGCCAATTCCCTATTTATACAAATGTTGAACTCAACAACATTATGATCACTGTTCCCAAGCGGTGCAATCACTTTTACATCTGTCACTAGGTCTTGAGTGTTACTTAGGACCAAATCAAGGATCGCCTCTCCCCTGGTAGGTTCCATGACCATCTGCTCCATAGCACAGTCATTTAGAGTGTCTAGAAACTCAATCTCTTTTTCTTGACTAGAACACATATTGACCCAATCAATGTGTGGGTAGTTAAAATCACCTTAGACCTTAGAGCACCATGAATATGACTGATGGACAGAAGATTCCACTCTCTCCCCACCCCATTCTGCTTGGACCATTCAGATACAAAAAGCTGAATGGAATACTGGAGAAAAACGAAAAACAAACCAGAGGCAGATTAACAGCCAGTAACCAATTGAAAAGGAGGAGTTTGGTTCTGGAGGAGGTATAAGGCATATCTTGAACAGTCAAGAAGAACAGCAGGGACTTTTGTTACACTATTTAGACAGGCAGGGTTTGGATGCTGTTCCTTTATGAAAACACTGAAGTATTAAGACTTGTCTGGTTACTGTTTCTAAATCTGAGATGCTGAAAGCACTGACATTGTAACCAATAAGTTTAAAACAGCATCTCCCAACTCTGGTAACTGTGTCATCTATCAGACATCGAACTTCTGTTTCTGCTACGTTTTACTCCCATGTTCTCCTCAACTCATATAACTCACAACAGGATCCAGGAAAAAGGGGTCCTGGTTTACATCTTGTGAGCCCTCTGGTTCAGGATTAAGGAATCCTGTGTGTAAGAGAAGAAACCCTAATAACAGAAATCCACTTTGCCCCATACTCCTAAAGTTGACAGTAGACTTTCCGGTAATAATAAAAGGAATGTGTGATGGTGAGGTGGTTCACAACTTACCAGCCTGAGGGACTTGCTATTGTAAAGTGGTATAAAATACAAAGAGCAAGGCCTGGATCAGGAGTTGTGACAACTAACCATATTCATCCATAAAATATGACATAGACTAAGAACCATGCACTACTTCCAAAAATGATGAGAAAATGTGTAGAATTGATTAGGAGAGAGCAACAAACAAGTTGGATGGTATATTATTTGTACTATTTACCCCACTGATGAAGTGACACCACACTCCATGGAAAACTTGTGAAACAGCCATAGATTTGGGGGAAAGAGTTTTTTTGAGTTTAATTTTTAATGTTCAAAATGGTCAGTGGCTGTTTAGCAAAGCTGTCCTATCTGGACAAAACCTTACCAAGCCAGCAATTGACAGGTAAAAAGTGAGTAGTTGGACTTCTGGTTGATGGCGGCACGCTAGCAGACTCACCTCCTGGACCTCCCAGGGGTGAAGCTGGGCTCCAGCCGAAGGAGGAGGTGTGCAGGCTCACTACTCCCCCAGGGACCCGGTTGGACCCTGGCCATGGAGCTTTTGAGAGGTTGCCTCTTCGATGGCGTAATGCCGGAGAATTGAGGCACCTCTCCGCTCTGATGGTTCTTCGTGCTGAGAGACCGAATGGACTAAGTGACGCTGACTGGGGCAAGCGCAGGAGATCGAGCGTGAAATGGAGTGTAAACGAGGTCTGTGGACCGATTATGAATGTGAGTCGTTAAGCATTGATTAAAAAGAAAAGAAGTTCCCCACCCCACGGAACAGAAGATAAGGCGAGCGGGGGAGGGACGCCTCCCAAACACATAGACTTTAGAGCGATTGAGGGGGGGAGCGGAAACATAAAAGGTTAAAACTGATAAGGACTTGTGCGAGCGTTAAGGAGCATATTCAGAGACTTTCAAAAAGTTTGCGAAAGTAAACAAAGAGAAAAAGATGGCGGGGAAGAGGACAGAGAAAGAGAAACATCTGAAATCGGAAGTAACTGAGAGCCCAAAACCGGAAGGAGTAAATGAGCCAGCAAAGACTTTGGCAGACTCCATGCGCCACCTGCTGGACCAAATGAATAATCTCAAAGAGGGCTAATATGATCCTTCACTTTCAGGACATGCCAGAGACTAAAGGAGAGAATCTGAAGGAAATGACGAGTGAAATACTGGCCCCAGTGACTGAGATGAAGGCGGAATTTTTGCTAAGTGAAATGGATGTGGCCTATAGGTTTTATTCAGGATACATAGATAAAAATAATCTGCCTGGGGAAATTGTCGTAAGATTCTCAAAGAGGCATGTAAGGGATGCAATCCTGAAAGCAGTATCTGGAGCACCCCTGAGAGCTGGGGAGAGTGTTATCAGAGTACTGAAGGCTATTCCATTTGAAATAAGACAGCGGAGAAAGAAATATAAAGATCTTCTTCTTTTTCTTCAAACAAATTCAATTGGATATAGATGGCAAATTCCAGAAGGCGTCACCTTTAAAATTAAGGATAAAAAAGAAAAGATTGACTCTGTTCTGAAAGCGAGATAATTTTTAAGAGTCCAGCTGGGAGGGCCAGAGGAGGAAGAAAAAGAAGGGGACAGCAAGTCCAGTGGCGAGCTGGACTCGGGTTCTTCCGGAGAGGATTCTCTGTCTGAGAAAGGGGCAGCAGCTCTTAAAAGTCCTTATAAGTTGTGGAAGAGACTGGACAAGAAGAAGTGAAGGCTGAAGGACTCTGAATTGTGCCTTTGAAAAATTTTGAATTGAGATGCTTTGGGGTATTTCCTGATATCAGTTAAATTTAAGATGTGGGAAAAGTTAACAGACTATGTGACTCAGTTTGTAATGAGATTAATATGATTAAGACTAGATGTGTATTTAAGCTGATTAGAAGATCTCCTCTCTTGGGTTTTTAGTCAGTAGTGGGTATCTTTTCTTTATCCCCTTAAATGTAGTCCCCTTCCTTATTTCTGTTATAGTTTGTAGTTTTAATAAAAATGCAATAAAAATTCCCCATTGGGGAGCAAAAAAACAACACCACCAGTGAGTAGTTCAGAGCAGAATAATTTATTCCTATGGTGTCAAGACCCCAGTGAAGGCAATTAACTTCAAGAAATCTTTGGGATCCAAGAAGAGTCTAGAATTTTCTATCAGACAGATAGGGTGGAGGTCAGAGGGACAAGAAGGCAGGGTTTCCTTCACTGAGGATGTCATTCATCTTGGAAAATTGTTATCCAGCCCAAGAAAAGAAACTTGGGTTCAAGAACATTACCTGGACTGAAGCAGCCCCAAAAAGAGGAAACTGAAAATTGTAACTGGTTCATTATATCCTGCTTAATTTATAGTAGAGAAGCTTAGAACTAGAAAAAGAGGAGTGTGTTTCTTATCTTTTGCTCAGCAGTCAATTTTCCTTTCTATAATCAACAGATTTAATTATAAATTAAATTAATTTTACTTTTTCATGAAATGGGTGTTTAATTGGTGTTTTATAACCAAGGGACAAGGCATGTGGTAAAAAAACCCACCCTGTAGTTCTTTATCTGAGGAGCAATCTTTAAAGAGACAAAGAGCTTAGTTTCCAGAAGCACTAAACGGATGTCTTTTTACAAGCCTCTGGTGGTGCCAAGCCACAGAAACTAAAGTAGATGGGTAAATTCAAATGCCCTTGATACAGAAAAGGAGGCTGGAGGGCCTGTTTTACCCCCTACTCTAAAGTACAGAACATATCACGTGTATTCAGTAATACTCAAAGACTGAACTTGTCATTTTCTCTCTGAGTTCAGGGGTGGTAGGGTAAATGAGAAATATATTACATTAAGGTTTCTTCATCAGAAAAGTAGTAAGTACTTAAGTCCATTACAGACTGATTACACTGAACTTGGACCCATTTTATGTGACATAGAAACTGCATGTTACCATACATTTGCTTATAAATGCAGGCACTTTCTTCTGATAACAGAGTTACAGGAAGCAAGATATGCATTCCAGCAAGACAGGAAAGGGAAGCCAATTCTTATTCCCCCCAAATGTAGCAAGCCTTTGTGAGAAATGAACAGATATGATGATACTTGGAAATTAAATTTCAAAGCTTGCTGAAAGTCAGGTGGCGGAAGGATACTGCTTCCTCAGCTTAAAAAAACAAAAACACACTTCCCACTACATCAAAGGCTGCAAGCACAGCACTGAACTAAAATTCTGCTTACTGCAACTTTAATGCATTTCTGTATAGAGATGAAAGAAACCAAGTTCCACTTTTTAAAAGTACAGAACATTAAAGTGACACTTTCCATAGAGCAGAAGGGGGAACATATTTTGGGATGTGTGTTTAAATCACTGAGGCCAATTTCTTCTAAATGTAGGAGTACTTTGACATATTCTTCACTGATTTTAAAGTGATCGGAACTGAACTGAAAACTATTCAGAGGCTCAATCAGAGCTACTAATATCAAAAGTCAAACAGCAATTGAGGGACAGTTTTGCCCTTTTGATACAAATAAAGCTGAGCTCAGATTAAGGAGTTTTTGTGTAGTTTATAGCAGTAGCATTGGTCTGGAAAAAGGAATAACTGAATAGGAGCAGTACTATGCTTTGTAAAATTATCTGTGAAGCCATTCATAGTGTGATGTAACAAAAGGCACAATCCTGGTAGCACTATTCACAACAAGGTACACTGCCTGCCAGCACAGCTTTTTATTACTGAATTTACTCATGTCTAAATTCTCAAAGATTCAAGTGCTAAAGCTATACAAACCTACCCAAGAGAACTACACCGGAGCTACATGGGTCAATTCAGACTGAAGAACGGCAGCCACTGAACTATGAACATATGGCTAACCCTGCAGTAACCTTGGATATGTTGATGTCGGCAAGATGAATTATGTATGTTAATTTTACTGGAAACCATCAATTTATTCTTTGTCAGGGGAATACTCATACTGTGAACATGACTACATGGGAACAACCTTCACAGAGCACTGATAAACACTTCAATTTTACAGTTGGTAGCAGCTGAAATTAGTCCATGAATTTTTTTTTGTTCTTGATTTTCAAATAGTCTGATTTTGCTTAAAACACTGTTCTCCATCAATCAGTGGGAGTTGGGGGAAGATACATGAATTGGGGACAGGGAGACAGACAAGCCTATCATCTGACAGTCATCTTATTCTATTTTTATGTGTCATGAAATTTGGACTGTGTTGAGACAAAGTCTTCAAAGAAAGCTGTCTATGCACAGTACAGGGCATCTTTGACTGAAAGGCACACCACAGCAGATAACCAACCTGGGGGGGGGAGATGCTTTCCATTCTGACATTTATTTTATTGGGTGATATGACAGATGTGCTGAATTCCCACAGAATAGTAGCACTGAGGATATAAAACCTTCAGACCAGCAATCTTTCTGAAAGAACAGGAAAGTTTACAAGAGAAAATCTGTATACAGAATGTCCCAAATGAATCAATGAACTTGCGATTTGTAAACAGATTATCTGTTGGTTAGACAGACAACAGTATTTAATGTTATAATCAATACTAGTTACTTTATAAAGGTGAGGTTTCAAAAAAGTAAAAGACTTTGAATACTTTTTTATCCTATCTAAGCTATTTGAGATAAACGAATTTCAGAACATTGTATACAGCAAAATGCAAAATTTCTAGTGATGAGTATTGTGAATTTGCAACTGCTACACAATATGTATTGATAAAATAAAATGCAACATATTAAGGCTAGCTAAATAGTATTTTTAAGTAAGCTATAATTTAGGAAGAACAAAATGCAACTTAAAACATGCATGTTCAAAAAACAAAACAAAACTATACTTACTATACTATCACCATTAACCTGACCTGACAATATGACGTTCAGTACTTGAGTTTTGTATCCCTGCCCTTGGGCTAAACCTGATAAAAAGATCACTTAATTTCATAATCCATTTCCTTCACATGCAGGAATGTTACTGACATAATACAAAAAATCTTAAAGAAAACAACTATTCTTGCATTTAATGGAGATCACAAAATGTGAAAACTTACATATCATCATCATAAGATATCTGCTAAAAGATTAGGCCTCAAAGGATAAGAAGCAACCAACATTTATATTACAAAGTCGGCATACCAAAAACACAGTTTACAATACTGTATTTGATATGACTCAAACCAGATACCTCAAAGGCTGCAGTTTTGTCAAATGCAGTTACATCCCCTGTCAACAGTGTGATAAATATTTCCATCCCACCCCGACAACAAATAAGTTATAGTACAACAATGAATATCAGAGCAAAACAATGAATCAGACTAAGCTATGTGTCTGTTTAACTTAAATCCATCTATAAATCAACTAATATTTTGAAACAAAGCCACCCCTTGCTACCAGAGATGTTAGCAATGATTTAAGAATTTT